AAACTGAATTAAATTAACATAACCATCCAGAACAGTTTTCACGCAGAGACGCACACATAAATCAATTAAATTTTACCATGTCCTATTTTCCATTGTGTGGGAAGAGACTATTCCTGTGTCAAGTGTTTGTCACTGCAGCAGTACAAGTTTTCCAATGGACACTATCCCTTTTGTACTTTGTATTTTTACCGAAGGCCCCCATTATCATCTTATGGACTTAGATGTTGTTGGTCCTACATTGGGAAGCTTTGAAAACTCAGGTCCATCCTTGCAGCTGGTGGTGGATGCTAGATTCGTAAACGCAACCTTAGGTTTGAGGTATTTCCATCTCTTACGATCACCTTTTTGTTGCACAATTTGCAAATTGCCTTGTCTGTACTTACCGCCTCTCCCTTCTCGTTCATTCAAAACCTAAAGTACTGTCAAACTGCAGAAGTTGTTTCTTTTTTTAAACCACGGGCCTCATGTGCGAAGACTTGCGTTGAAATCATTTTAAAACATTGCTTACGCACAAAGCTGCAAATGTGCATTCGCAGTAAAAAATTCAGATGCATGAAACACTGCCAAATAACACGCATATTCTCTTTGTACATCCGAATGAACGTGAAACTGAGCGCACGTGCACGAGCGAAAAACCCCTCACTGCCTCCTCCCCCATATGAATATGCTAATGACTCTACTTTGGCAAAACCCAACGAAAAAGCAATGGCAAAAGCAAGCAAAAAGAGAAACTTTGAACAGAATGGGAATTGGAGGTGCTGCTTTTGAAGGTAGACCGGAGAAAAACTGTGTTATTTGCAAGTTTCTCCTTCGGAATTAATAACAAAAGAAAAAAAAAATGGAGTGGGAAAGTTTAGCTGATGCAGTTAACACAGTGGAGTCTGAACATTGCACGGAGTGGATTAAAAAAGAAATAGTGCAATGTAAAGGTGTAAAATTTTGTGTTGTGTTTAACAGTGTGAGTGGCGTTGCTCGTAAAATGCATGGCAACATGTTTTGACATGTTCGAGCATGAACTCGGTTCGAATCCAGCGTCTGATAACCTCATTCTTCTTTTCCCCCCCCCCTCTACATATCAGATTTAGCCTACTCTTCATCACGAGGAAGACAAGTAGGAATCATTAATAAGTCTGTGCATTACATTTTATTTGCACATTTATTGAATGGTAATGTTTCTGATTCACGTTGCTAATTCGTCTTTATTTATAGCAATGTGTGTGCAGTTGATCGCTCCCATTACAATGGTAAAACCGGCGATCGCTGCAAATTGCGCTTTAATGTTTGGCTGGTCAACTGCATGGTATGGAAACCTTATATACCTGCTAGACATGCGGATGAACCCATCTCTTACAGCTGCCACTGCACGGCTCAAAGACACTTTGTAGTGTGCAATTTATCACAACTGCCTTTAGGAGTCGCCAATAAAAATAAAACAGACACACACAAGAATGGATCAGCGCACATTCCCACGTTCATTTAATCATTAGTAGATCCAAAGTGAGCGTGAAACCTGGCGAACGCATCAGGTCATACATGAGGTCCCTGGTCACTTGGTGCGCAACTCGCCATCTTTCCATCTATTTAATCCTTGTCTCCTATATACATTGCTTTTTATGATGGTATAACGGTATTTTTATCCATTCCTCAGTGAATAAGGGTCATATAAGTTGGAGTATTTTATATTATAGTATTTTAGACACAGAACATCTTTAGAAATTGAAAGATAGTACATTTAAATTCATGCAAATTATTGCTAAAAATGAAAAACTACAACATTTCAACAAAATTGTATATATTTTTGTTTCTCTTGATTTTTGATATTTTAGAAAATGTTATTTCATAATTTTCCCTAACAAATAAATTTGGGTGTACAAATTTTTAACCATTATTGTAAGTTATTTTGTTATTTAAGCTCAAGATTTGGCTTCAGTACTGACTAAACAAATGCAAATGCACAGATTTATTACTTTAAAGAATCCTATAAAATATGAATAAAAAATAGATTTGTGAGGGGTGTATTCATATATGCACAACACTGTATATTTTTACTTTTTGAAAGAAGTCAATTCTGATCACTATGGCTTCATTTATTTCCACATAAATACATTAAAACAGAACTTGTGTGAAAAATGATTGCACTTTATAATAAGAGTTTTCTCTTTTAATATACTTCAAAGTATAATGTATTCCTGTGATTTAAAGCTGCATTTTCGGCATCATTACTCCCACTTGGTGGTTCTTCATAAATCTTTTCAATATGCTGATTTGCTGCTCTACAAGCATTATTATCATCCATGTTGAGAACAATTACTACACTTTTTATGTAGTAGTAAGGATTTTTTGGATGAAAAGGAAATTTAAATGAAATGCGTTTATTTGAAAAATGAACATTATATTCGTTTTGGAACATTATTAATGCCATTACTGTCACTATAGGTTATTTTAATGCATTCCTCTCCAATAATAGTAGTATTTCATCTTCAAACTTGTTCAATTAAAAGACTTAATGGTATCCACTTTATTTTTTTGTGTGGAAGTAAGCTTATTTCTGTGATTGTGTGTCTTTTCTGATTTTGTTTTAGCCACTGTAGGGAATTATGTTTACATTTACATTTAATCATTTTGCAGTGATGCTCTCTCTCTCTCTCTCTCTCTCTCTCTCTCTCTCTCTCTCTCTCTCTCTCTCTCTCTCTCTCTCTCTCTCTCACTCTCTTTTAAATAATGAGAGGAATAGCAAAACATTTAAATAAAACAGTAAAACAGTTCGGGCTACAGACCAATGCTTATAATTAAGAGAATGCATTAAAATAATATGGCCAGAAATACCAGTTTGCAATATCAAGCCGTATATCAAGCTGTTATGCAAAGCTAAAAATAGCCAGAAGTGATATTGACACCAGTTTTTTCCTGAAAAATAAGCAGATTTTCTACATTACATAATTAATAAAACCAAAATAATAAAGAAAACAAATAGCTGCGAACTGAAAATATATATCATTTGACTGAATCAAGTCACATTTTTTAATTACATTCAAATATGATATGAAGTAGGTAACAGGTATGCTAAAAAACAAATAAGAACATTATAATTGCATTATACTATTATATTATATTTTTTAAATTAAATAAACATGTCTTTATGTGTAAACGTAGTTTTTCCTACTTTTGTAACAACTCCAATAAATAATTAATAATATACAGTTGGAAGTCAGAATTAATAGCCCCCCTTTGCTTTTTTTTCCTTTTTTAAATATTTACCAAATGATGTTTAACAGAGGAAGGAATTTCTCACCGTATGTCTGATAATATTTTTGTTTGGCTAGAATAAAAGCAGTTCTCAATTTTTTTTTAAAATAAACATTTTAAGGTCAAAATTATTAGCCCCTTTAAGATATATATATATATATATATTTTTTGTTTTTTCGATAGTCTACAGGACAAACCATCGTTATAAAATGATTTGAGAGGGGTCATCTACTGACAGTGGAAGTCATCTACTGACTTCAACTGTAGATTTTATTCTCTTAAATAAAGATTTAAGGATCTAAAAAATAAGTAAATAAAAATGTTAGTAAAAAGTAAACATAAATTATTCTGTCAATATAAAGAATTTTCATTATACAAGCCAAAAATAAATATATTCTAAGCCAGAGATAGCCAAAGTAAGCCCTGCAGGCCAAAGTTGGTCCATTGTAACCTTTGATTTGGCCCACCATCCCATCTGAGAGGAGAATGAGAGTGATGGAGAGGGTTGGGGCGATTGCCTTTAACACAGAGATAATTTCTAATGTGACATAACCTTTTGTTTTATTGCTGAGCTACAAAAATCTAACTGAAATGAAATGTTTCAATTAAATGTCGTAATAATAATAATAATAATTCCTTACATTTATGTAGAGCTTTTCTGTATAATTAAAGCACTTTACACATTTTTGGGGGAAATCTCCTCATCCACTACCAGTATGAAGCATCCACCTAGGTGATGCGACGGCAGCCATATTGTGAAGACTGAACACCACACACTGGCTGATTTGGTGGGGTGATGAAGCCAATTATTATATTGGGATGACTAGAAAGCCATTAGACAAATTTGGCCAGGATGCCAGGGTAAAAACCCTACACCTTTTGAAGTACATCCTTGTATTTTTAACGACCACAGAGAGTCAGGACCTCGATTTAACGTCTCACCCGAAAGACGGCGCTCATTGAGAAGTTTAGAGTTCTTAATTGAGCACCCCCTGCTGGCCTTACTAACATTACTTCTTGGAGCAGCCTAGTCTCCCATCCAGGTACTGAATGCTTACCTTCAGTGGGCGACCATGTGAAAGCTGCAGAAAGCTACTGTAGCTGCCGGCAAATGAATGCATAATAAATGAATTTGCCTTTCAAAAAATGTAAATACTGTCACTCGACGGACAGAGGACTATGCAGAAGACATCAGTGAGCAAACCAAGGCAAAAACTAGTGTAATTCTGTTATAAATTAGATTGTTTGGTTTTTACTAGAATAAGTTCATAATAAAATGAATAAAAATACTGTATTAGATAATTTACAATTTAATTTTTTTTAAATTTTTATTATTATTAAATAAATTAGTAAATTCTATATTTAGCTTTGACCTAATAAAGCCTCAGTCAAGTTTGATTTTGGCCCTTTAAAAGAAAAAGTTTGGGCACCTCTGCTTTAAGTAAAAAAAAAAAAAAAAAATAGCAGCATATAGGAAAGGCACAAATACTCATGATTCCTGATAGGTCACAAAATGCAGCACATCGCTATTATTAGAAATGTGGTTTATATTGTACACAATTTATGATTAATATTGCATTAGAAAGTCTACAGGGCCTAAATGCTGAATGACATACCCAAAATCATGATCTTGGCCACTACCAAGAAAAACTTTGGTGAACTTATATATACTTTAACTTATATATACATTATTCAAATTGACAAACACAAACATATATAGTTAATATCTGTTTTTTTTCTCTCTTTTTTGTCAGGATTCATTGGGCAGGCACAGAGACTGCAACTATATGGTGTGGATACCTTGACGGGGCGGTTCAGGCAGGTCAACGGGCGGCTATGGAGGTTCTGGCTCAGCTGTGTCCTTCATCTCTGTCCCGAGAGGAGCTGAACGCAGTGCGAGAATCTCTGAAGCCAAGAGCACCCAGAAAGGGCTCAAAGGGCAGGTCCAGGTCTCTCTGTCTTCTCGGTGTGGTGATGACAACAGCCGCACTGGTGGGCGCTTATCTGTTAGCCAAACCAAAACTACCAGTTAAATGGATTTAAATGGATTTAATGGGAAGTAGTTGAGTGTCCTTATGGCAAGCTGTTTTAACATGTAATTTATAAAACATGCTAGTGTGGATTTGAATTAAACAGCACCACAGGTGTCTTAACTTAAAATCTAGCGCCATCACTTATCAATATAACATTTGAACGCAATGGGCTACAATCAAAAAATGTTTTCCTCTGAATCCTTGGCTCAAGCCGATTCAAACGCACCATTTAAAAACTATTTAAAATCTATTTGAACAAACTTGTACTAGAGCGTTTATCCGATTTTCACCTAATTAAAATCACATGATCTAGAGACCATGCAGACAAAGGCTGTTTCTCAATATGCGTTCTTCAGCGGTCTTGCGCCCTCGTGTTCTCGTGTAACGTCATCATCAGCTGCCAAAGTTCAGTTCTAATGCTTAAAACTGCAATAGGGAGGTGAAGGTGGGAAGCTCAGCATTTGATATAGATTTATTATTAAAGTTCAGAGATATAACTTGTTTACTTCAGGAGTTTCCCTTAATGAAACGGGGAATATACATTAAACATTACCATGGACATCTTAATAAAGGAATAAACACATTAAGGGTGTTTATTTGCTGAAATTCATATTAAATCTATTTTATTTGTATTGTGCAACGTATATTTATAATGTTTTTTTATGCATAGTATATATTTTGAAAAGGGGAAAAACAATAAATCCTTGTATGAATGCTGTAATGTTTAAATCACGTGAAAGTCATGTGACCATCAGGAAGAACGCAGCATCTCATTTCTCACATGACGCGTTCTCTGTCCTCGTGGTCTCACGACTTTGTTCTTCTGAGGACACCTGGCAAGACCGGTCTCCACAAGAAAGCAAGTCCAATCTCTGCGTTCTTGGAATTTAGAAACAGCCAAAATGTTATGGAATTAAAGTTGATTAGACCAACCGTTTCCATTTAACTTGGAAACAAATCTAACAGAGCTTGCAAAAATGTACTTGAGGCAATTTCTCCAAAACGCGTTGACGTATTCACAATAAAATGGTGGGTTTTATGAAAACTAAGGTCTGATGTTATGTGCAGCATTACAGTGCACCTAGTGGTCCGGAGGGAAAACATTTATTTGCTTATAACTTTTTAAATGTTTGTCCAAAAATAATCGTGTTGCTTTTGGCCTCTGGACTGTTTGTTCATTCTGCCTCTGGACTGCTTTGTTCATTCTGCCTCTAGACTGCTTTGCACATTCTGCCTCTGGATTGCTTTGCTCATTCTGCCTCTGTGGTTGGCCCCTCAATTGCTGCTTGCAGCTATATTTTAATTAGTACTTTTTTTTTTTTTAGATATCAGTACCTTTTGCTTTAAGAATTAGTATTTAAATTCATTGTACATAAGTGCTCATTTTTATCTTTTTAAACAGTAGTACTTATGATTGTTGAACAAACTCTACTTATGCCACTTAAGCCAGATAAGATTATTATTAATAGTGATAATGACAAAAAGATACTACTGTTTAATAAATATGTACTAGAACATATCAACTATTTGCATTTATTGAATTAATATGAAGATATGAATAGCAGTATAAATAATAGTAAATATAATAATAAATAATTAGATTTAACAAATAAAAACTACCTGTTTTTTGTTTTTTTTTGTTATGGGTATAAGATAATAAAAAATATGTGTTTATTAAAGATATCTAATAGTATTATTCATTCATTTATTTTTCTTCACTTTTAGTCCCTTATTTAACAAACCACCAACTATTTTAGTATTTGTTTTATGCAGTGGTTGACCTTCCAGGCCCAACTCAGTAATGGAAAACACCCATACACTCTCACATTCACACACTCACTCATACACTATGGCCAATTTTGTTTACCCAATTCACCTATAGCACAAATCTTTAACTGAAGGAAACCCACACAAACACAGGGAGCATACGCATACTCCACACAGAAATGCCAACTGGCCCAGCCGGGACTCGAACCAGCAACCTTTTTGCTGTGAGGTGACAGTGTTAACCACTGAGCAACTGTGCCGCATATAATATTTATTAGGATCTAATAAAATACGTTTGAATATCTAGTGTATTTCTACTACTATTTAAAAATATGTACTAGTCCCAAATAATAGTATCTAAAAAATAAGTATTAATGTATTTTTAATAAGATCTAATGTCAAGGAAATAAGTAGTAGTACATAAATAATAAGTATAAATAGCTAAAAAATGGACTGGCGCTTAAAAGACACTAAAATCAAAAACAAAAATTAGTAGCAGCATGAAAACAGATACTTTCTAAATACATTAAGATTAAATGTTTAAACAGCCTACAATAGTATATGTGCCTGATGAATGTATTATTGTTATCTTAATTATTATTATTATAAGGGAAAATAATAGAATAGTTCTTATTTGAATGGTGCTTATTTCAAACTGATTGGTTAATGAAAGTGGGTGTTACAAAATAGATCTAGAAGATTGGTGCTAAAAATTTAAACCATTTTAGATGCAGTTTATTGAAAATGAAAGTGTCCGTATTTTCAAATTAGACTGAAATAGAACATTTTGACAGTATGATCACTCATTTTGTTTTGTGTAATTGTCGCTGCTTTTTGTGCCTTATAATTGCTTTGCACTATTTGAAGAGAATACGAAACATCAAAGCACAGAAGGGAAGCGCAAACACTGCGCGCTTTTAGTGTCATTAAGCACATTAAGTGCCCCTCTTTCTTTCAGCCTAATGAGAATCTCAATTGTTTTCAGAGGAATAATGCGCTCAACAAGTTTGTCAAGGCCTCTTTGAACATGTTAGATGAGCATAATGCACAATGAAACATCATTTCAGATAATGACAATAATATATTCTATGAAATGTCAAACAATAATAGACCAAACCATACTTTTATTTTTATTTATTTTCAAAATTGTGTTGCATATAATAACAATGTCATTTTTCAGAATGAAAATGAGCAAGTCTTGGCAGCATATTCACCTTGTATGTATCATAATGCATATAAATGTACTCAGTTGTACTTTATACAGCACCACATCTTCACACAAATAAAATAATGCAGCCTTGAACACAATTCACTGAACTGGTAGTTTTGTTTATATTCTGAAAGTTTGTTAACCTTCCAGCCATAAACTAAAGCAAATATGACATATATGCTATAACACAATTGACTGTAATTACAAATGCACTATTTTTGCTGTTGAAAACAGTTCTAATACATTACTGATGCTATTGTTAGCGATGCTTGTAATTAATACTAATTATGTTAAATTGTGCAGAAAGAATGGATGTGCATTTCTAGCCATTTTTAGAAGCGCTTGCCTTGTACAAGGTAAAAGAATTGCACAATAAACTATTTAATCAATTTGCCTTTTCTTTTTCCTCATTTTCTCTGATGTCAATATTTTGTAGTGCTATTTCAGTATAGTTGCATCCCAAATGAAACACTATGTACTTATACAGTGTCAACTCAAATGGAGCACTCACTTTTTTGTGGAAATTCAAACTGTTTCCCAGGCAATGTTTAAAGGTTGCCAAATTAGGGAATTCACCATCAGGAGGCGGCATAATCACTGATGTTGAAGAATTTTGCTTTCACAATCCAAAAATAAATACAGAAGTACAGCATACAAATGCAATAGCTCTCAATAGCCTCTTCCGATATGTGGACAAATCTGCGAGTGTTGAGTGTATGAAGTGTTCAATTTTCCACATTTATTTGTAAATGGTTAAATAAGTGCATCATCCAGGTATTAAAAGTGCACTTCTTTTTTAGAATGTTAGTGTGTTCTATTTATACTTCAAAATGACAGAATAGTGCATAAGTATGTGATTTAGGACTCACCTTTAAACTAAATGATTTCAGTTGAAATATTTTATTCATTTGGATTAATTAATAGTTCTGTTAAAAATAAAATATTACTTATACGATTCTTCTGTTGAAATGTATTTTGTATTTTGAACAGTGCTAGTAACCAGACGTTGTACCCATTGCAGGAAAAAAAATATATATAACATGGTAGTCGATCAGTAGTCAACAAAGTTTGGAGGTCTTAGTTTTACAGCATACGTTAACAAAGTCAGTGACCATTGGATGTTTAATAGTGACTTATTGCACAGGCTGCTATTATGCCACCATACTTAAATTTACTGAGCACCTGAGAGACAAATGTTTGTAGAAGCAGTCTGCATGCTTGATTTTATGTTGCCATGGAAGTGATCGGAACACCTGAGGTCAATGATTTGGAGGGATGTCCCAAAACTTTTGCCGATGCATTTTGTTCACTTTAATATTGACACTATCCCAAATATCTCTATTAAATGTAACTGTTTTGTAAATAATGAGATCATTTTAACACATTAGTATATGTGAAGGGGCAAACTTTTTAAGATGGGTGGTGACCATGGTGGCCATTTTGAAGTCAGTCATTTTGAATCCAACTTTTTTGTTTGTTTTTTTCAATAGGAAGAGGGTCATTTGACACAAACAACTTATTGGGACTTTCACAAGAAAATAAATGGTGTGCTTGGTTTTAACGTAACATTATTCTTTCATAAGTTATCTACAAGTTTCTGACCACTTATAAAATGTGTTCAATGTGCTGCCCATCGTGTTGGATTATCAATGCAACCCTCTTCTCCCACTCTTCAAACACTGATACCAACACTGCAGGAGAAATGCCAGCACAGGCTTCCAGTATCCGTAGTTTCAGGTGCTGCACATCTGGTATCTTCACACCGAACTTGGTACACCCCTGGATTTAGGTCATACGGATGAGCCCTTCAGAATGGAACATAGTGATGTACTGTGTCCAGCAGTTGCCTGTCTATGCATCATATCCACATTATCACTGAATTGATTTCCAGAATTACAATAAGAAAAACCATGACTGCACACTCTGGTGACAGATGCAGAAGTTTCTACCTAAAATGCTGGTTTGTTTTTGTAGAATTCATATCTTTTGCTGTGATTAGACAGGGTTTAAAACATTGAAAACACGTCGTCAGTTGGCATTCCTGTGTGGACTTTGCATGTTCTCCCCCTGTTCAGTTGGTTTTCCCCACAGTCCAAAGACATACAGTATAGGTGAATTTAATTAAATTGGCCATGGTGTATGTGTGTTAATGAGTGTGTATGGATGTTTCCCAGTACTGGGTTGCAGCTGGAAGGGCATCCGCTGTGTAAAACATATGCTGTATAAGTTGGCGGTTCATTCCCCTGTGGTGACCCTTGGTACGTAAAGAAACTAGTCGAAGAAAATTGAAGGAATGAATGAGTAATTGTGTCTGTAATTTCACGATACCCTCAGTTAACAACCTCACTGCTTACACACACAAAAAAAGTTTCTTTATATTTACTACATTTTTAAAGTGAGTGGTTGCAAATTATTTAGATTGGCTGAATTTAAAGACATTAAGTTGAACATTGCTAAATTTAATTTGTTTAAAATCAGCCAGTATAAATTATTTGCAACCACTTACCTTAAAAAAAATGTAGTAAATCAAATTAACTTTTTTTTTAGTGTAGGTCTGTCTAGAGCTCTAGAGCAATTAAAAAACTAATACAAAAAAATAAAAAAGGCATCAAAATAAATTCCTGAAATACTTAA